CCTTCTAGTTGCTGTATGCGGGACGCGGCCTCAGCATGGCCAGAGAAGCGGTGCGTCGGTGCGCGCCCGGGATCCGAACCCGGGCCGCCAGTAGCGGAGTGCGCGCACTTAACCGCTAAGCTACGGGGCTGGCCCAGAATAGTGATTCTTAATCTATGTGTCCATCTTATTTGTCCCAGCCTTTGCTTGTTTAAATAGCACTAGTGGCTCTTATCCAAAATCAAATGATTTTAAACAGCTAGGTTTTCCTCATAGCTAAGGGTTTGTTTTTTAAAGCATCTATATTCTTTTTCTACTTTAGATGAAAATCTTTGATACATATATTGAACATATCCCTATTTTATAAAGAGCATGTTACAAACTTAGCTTCATCCTTAGTAACTTTGTAGTTATTATGAGTATGAATTATTATACTTTGCAATGCATAGTTATACTGACTAAGTCCATGACTGCCCTCTTCAACATTCATATTGTTATACCTTAAATCTTTATGGAACTCTTACTGGTACTAGATGCTGAGTTACCTGCTTTACGTTCATTATTTACTTTTATCCTGGTTCCCTATCCAAGATCTCTGTAGGCTAAATTCAACTTGACCTACATTTTGTACAGAAGAGGAAACTGAGGCACAGAGGGATTACACAGCTTGCTCAAGGGCACAGAGCTGGTATTGGAATCCAGCTCTGTTTGATGACAAAGCCCATTGCTCTTAACCACTGTGCTCTACTATTTTCTTGCTAGCTCAGAAAGAAAGTTATTTCTCATCCTCTATTGTGAACTGCACAACAGGTATTATCATTCTCATTATACAAATACATTTGAGTAAGTTAAGTGATTTGACCCATTCATATGGTTTTAGATAGCAGTCAGCCCCAGGCTTGTCACAAATCATTTTTAATGTTTATTGAACAACATTCATTAAGTAGATAAGAATAATCTTTTTTTTTAACTTTTTATTTTGAAATCATTTTAGACTTAGAGAAAAGTAAATGTAGTAGAGAGAGTACCTATTTACTCTTTACCCAGCTTCCCTTAATGTTAACATCTTCCAGTCACAGTACGTTTATGAAAACTAAGAAATTGGCATTGTTATAAGATTCTTAACTAAGCTATAGACTTTGGTCATTTTTCACCAATTTTTCACCGATATCCTTTTTCTGTTCCAAGATTTGGTTGCGGATCCCACATTGCATTTATTTTTCATGTCTCCTAAGTTTCCTTGACATTTTTGAAGAGTAATGGTTAGGTACTTCATAGAATGCCTCTCAGTTTGGGTTTGTATGATGTTGTCTTATGATTAGGTTGAGGCTGTGCATTTTTGGCAAAACTTCTAGAAAACTGATGTTGTGTCTTTTTCAACACATCATATCGGGTTATACGAAGTTGATATGTCTTACTACTGGTGATGTTAACTGTGATCTCTTGGTTAGGTAGTTTCTGCTGTGTTTCTCCACTGTAAAATAATTTTTTTTCCTTTTGTACTTAATAAAGATCTTGGGAGAGATACTGTGAGACTATGCAAGTGTCCTGTTTTTCCTCAAACTTTCACTCACTGGTTTTAGCGTCCATTGGTGGATCTTGCTGGCAACAGTCATTACTTGTGTTTATCTAATGGTAATTTTCTGTTTTCTTCATTTCTTTTACATTTATTAATTGGAATTCTTCTATAGGGAAGAGCTGTACCTTCTCTCTTATTTATTTATTCAATTATTTATATCTGTGGGCTCAGAGATAGTAAATGAAGTGTATTTATACACACATACACACATATACACATATATGGTTCATTTGAGCAAGTAATATTTGTAAACTTCAGGAGAGGGATATTGGTATATCTAACTTGTAAACTTGGTGCTTTTTTTGTGTTAGGTGGGTGCATGTATATTTGGGTATAGGATGAATAACAATGCTATAATAGTATTGCATATATTGTTACATAAAGGTTGCATTTTATTTTAGAATTTCCTTTGGAGATAGTTTTTAAAACATAGAGATTTCAAACCCCAAGATCACTAGTTATTGGCATAGCACCTGGAATAATTTTCTCCTAAAAAGGAATCATTGTCTTTTTATAGTTCTTAACACCTAAGGTGATTACCTTTTCCCCTTTTATTTTGCATTTGAGACACTTAATATAAATTTTGATAAGTTATAGTCATATATCAGCACTTATTAACATTGATAAGCAGTTCTCTAGGATAAAATTAAAGCTTGTAAACCATTAAGTATAGTTTTTGGTCAGATCACATATCCTGTTATTTTTTGTTTGCTGTTCTTTTTATATATTTTTTTAAACATGTAGAATAACAACTATATAACTATAAATTAAGATCTCTCATTTTTTCCCCTGCCTATTTTTTCCTTTATTTCTTAAACTTCTTTTTTGTTTTCCAACTTGTTCTTTGTATTGTTGTCAAAGAGAATTAATAGACTTATGCTGTCTTTGAATGAACATTTAATTACATTTTTAATGTCATTACATTATGATTACAATTTAAATCACCAGGTTTAGCACTGTTTAACTCATATACAGAAGAAAAATATCCACTTACTCTTAACCAGTCAGAATAGCATCGTAATAGATAAATACCCAGACTTTTTCTATGCATATATACCAATTTTTTTTTTTTTATAATTTATTTGTTTTTTCCCCCAAAGCCCCGGTAGATAGTTGTATGTCATAGCTGCACATCCCTCTAGTTGCTGTATGTGGGACACGGCCTCAGCATGGCCGGAGAAGTGGTGCATCGGTGCACGCCCGGGATCTGAACCTGGGCCACCAGCAGTGGAGCGCTTGCACTTAACCGCTAAGCCACGGGGCCGGCCCGACCCGTTTTTTTTTAATGCATTCATACTATGTATACTGTTCTGTAACTTGCTTTTTGACTTGGTTGTGATAGTATCTGTTTTCTATACTCGCATTAAAAGATGCAGGAGGGGCCGGCCCCATGGCCCAGTGGATAAGTTCAGTGCGCTGTGCTTCAGCGGCCCGGGTTCGGTTCCTGGGCAGGGACCTACACCACTAGTCGGCGGCCATGCTGTCTGGTGACCCACATACAAACTAGAGGAAGATTGGCACAGATGTTAGTTCAGGGGGAATCTTCCTCAGCAAAAAACAAAAAAAGATGCTGGAATATCAGAGGAAAACCAGCATGGAAAGCACAATTAGAGGAAGTATAAGAATCAAATGAATGAATTTATCTATGATGGACTTCTTTACAAGTTAATATATCTAAGTCTCTGTAGTCATTTTTTAATGAATGCATAGTGACCCGCTATAATTTGTTATTTTCAGTGTTTTGATATTATATATATGATGATTAGTAATCTAGTACATACATTTTGTGTATTTGATCTATTATTTCCTTAGATCAAATCCCTAGAAATAAAATTACAGGAACCAAGTTTATGCATATTTTAAAGACTTTTGATATATTACTGCCAAAATGCCTTCTGTAAAGCGTATCAGCTCTGAACAAACAGTATTTGAGTATGCCTGTTTTCTCATGCTCTTCAGCAATATTAGATATTATTCTTTTAGGCTTTGCCAGCCTGGCATGGAAATAGTATTTGTTTTTGCACTTTCTTCATTACTGTTCAGGCAGTTTATATGTTCAGTGGCCATTTGAATTTCTTCTTTTATTCATGTCTGCCTATATATCACTTATTTAGCATAGCCAAAAGTGATTTTTAAGGAGGCTCATTTTTTAAGGAGTTCTCATCTTTTTTTTTTTTTTTGTAAGGAGGACCAGCCCTAAGCTAACATCCATGCCAATCCTCGTCTTTTGCTGAGGAAGACTGGCCCTGGGCTAACATCCGTGCCCATCTTCCTCTACTTTATGTGGGACGCCGCCACAGCATGGCTTAACAAGCGGTGCGTTGGTGTGCGTCCGGGATCCGAACCGGCGAACCCCGGGCCGCGGCAGCGGATCGCGCGCGCTTAACCGCTTGCGCCACCGGGCCGGCCCCCAGGAGTTCTTCTTTTTAATGAGAACCTGACACATAACTTTAGTTTTATTTTATGTTGAAAATCAGTCATAGTAGTAGTTACATCATGGAGAAAACTGGTTTTCTAGTTTGTCTTTCTCTTTTGAAAGACTCTAAAAATAATTTAAAAGCAAATACATAACCAGAATAAAGGTAGTTGGTTGTGTTCTGTCACTGTTCTTAGAGTATGTGTGTTCTAGCGTATTAGTAATATCACAACTGAATTCTCAAACAAGAAAGCTAAGGGCCTTCCTTGCCTCAGCCCACCTCCAACTTCTAGTATGAAAATTTTCAAACATGCAGAAAAGTTGAAAGACTTTTACAGTAAATACACATATATCTACCACATCTATTCTACAATTAACACTTTTCTGTACTTGCTTTATCACATACCTGTGTATTGACTCATCTATATATGAATTCGCCTTTTTTTTTCCTTGATGCATTTCAGAATAAATTATAGGCACTGGTACATTTTACTCCTAAACACTTCAGCAGGCATATCATTATCTAGAGTTTAATATTTGTTTATAGTTTTCTTTTTCTCTTTTGAAGTAAAATTTATATAGAATGAAATAGACCTTAAGGGTACTGTTGAATACATTTTGACAAGTACACACACCTTTCTAACCCAAACCCTTGGGAAGACATAGTACAAATAGTATCATCACCTCAGGAAATTCCCTCTTGTTCCTTCCCAGTTAGTCCTTACCCTTGCTCCATCAAAGGTAACCATTGTTGTAATTTTTTTCCAACATGGATTAATTTTACCTATTCTAGGATTTCATATAAGTGGAATAATACAATATGTACTCTTTTATGTAAGGCTTCTTTTCATTCAGGATAATTTTTTTTATATTCATCCATCTTGCATGCATTAGTAGTTTGATGTACCAGTTTGTTTGTCCATTCTGATGACGGACACGTGGGTTGTTTCCAGTTTTTGACTAGCGTGAAGAAAGCTGCTATGAACATTCCTTTTATGGAGGACCTTTTTTTTAAAACTTGGATTTTAAAATTTATTCTATATATCCAACCTGTTAATCACTTTTACTTATCTCAAAGTATCTTCCATATTCTCACCTGTTCTGCATATATGGAAATAATGTGGTATTAAAAAAACATTGAGCTAGAAAATCCAGCAAGGAAATATCCTAATCTTGATGTTCGTACTGTGTGGTCTTGGATGAACACCGTGTTCTCCTTCTCATTCCTAGAAGAGGAGTTCAGTGAGAGCAAGAATGTCACATACATTTCATCCCAGGTACTTCCTTGGAGTACTCTGTTGAGGCTGTCACAGCTTAGCAAAAGTGACTTCCTTGAGCAGTTAGCTAGTAAAACGTCCATGAGCACTTAAAGCATTTGTTGTTCCTGGACCAGTCATGTTTTGTCTTTTGCCATTTTATGTTTCTGGCTATAATTTGAGATTAGTTAATTTTCGCTTTAATTATCCTAATCTTCTCAAATGTTTTTCCCTTCTTTCCATGGAAGATAGAATCCTAAAGAAATTTCTTAATCTTGATATTAACTTTTTTGTGCTTATTATTTGCCTCCTTATAGATCTATTGTGGTTTCCTATGCACCGTCAGTCATTTGCCATACCTCCACATCACCTTAGTTTCAAAAGTTTCATCTTAAAATTCCTAATTTTGTCCTTTTTTGTCTTTTCTGTCTCTTCCCTTCAGAACCTTGTAGATAACCTTGATTTAGGGATCAAGATTTTAAAATCATGTTTCTTTTGTCTATTATGAATAAAAATCTTCAATTTCTCTCAAAGCTTGAGCCACTTGTTTCCCCCTTTATTAATTATGATAGGAGGTAGAGAAAATGTGATATAGACATCACGAGATAACTATGGTGGAGGGAAGAATGTGATTATATGATCAGGAATGAAGTGATAATGGTTTTTAAAATGTCAGTCTCTAAGTGGATTCTGGCAGAAGAGCAATATAGATACATGTTTCAGCAAAATGATGTGCAAAGATACTGTGGGCATTACAAAAATTTGTAAAACTGTGTTATAAGGAAAAAGCTCTCTTGTGTACATAAAAAATTTAATTAGGCCAAAAAAACATGGAGGGAAAAAAAACACATTTTAACACAGCTCTCTCTGTAAATTAAATTATGCCAATAATTGGTTGTATATTCCAGACAACTGTGTGTTTATGTTTTCTGAATTCCAAATCTTGTCTGCCTCTTTTTTTACTTAGTGCCACATTCTAGTTCTTTAATACTCACTTGTATAGAAACTGCTTTTTATATGTAACCAGTCTAACAAAGTAAGCTAGCTCTCATAGGAATAATAACTAAGACCTGGATCTCTGGACTGGCGTGGCTTCTCTGTAACTTCAGTGGCAGTTCTTGAAGCAGCTTTCAGTTCCTCTCCTTGTCTGGAGGCTGAGTCCTTATGTGTCTAGATCTGTGAGTGAATCAGTATCTCTGTTTGGCAAAGTTAAGCCATTTTCAGAGATGATCTAGTAGCAGCATCCCTTCCTTCTGCCCATGTAATTTCATCTTTTTTTAATGTGTCACATAGTTTTATCTTTTGTAATGTAATTCATTAATCTAGTAAATACTTTTCGAGCCCTTCCTTGTGCAGTTTCTAGACGCTGGGAAAATATGTTACTAAAACATGATTTCTTCTCTTTCAGAGCTGACAATATAATGGGAGGAAACAGATCAGTACAAATAATTACAATAAAATAAAATGAGTGCTAATAGAAGTATGTATAAAGTGCTGTGGAAACTCCGAGGACTGCTTAGTAGGGGACAGAGGCAGCTTCTTAACAAAGAATGGTTTGAATTTATTTTAAATAGGGAGAGCTTTGCTTGTGAAGAAAATGCCATATGTAAGAGAGTGAAAGAGAAAACACCTGGAGAAATGTACCTCTTTGGGGTACGGTTTGATTGGAAGTAAGACTGGAACATCAACACAAATTTTGGCTTGCCAAGGGGGGTTAGAATTTTTTCCTTAACTACTAGAATCTGAAAGATTTTAAACATTAGAATGATAGAGTCTCATTTTTGTGTTAGAAAGATCACTTTGGCAGTACTGGGGAAGGAACTGAAATAAGCAGAATTGGAGTGAAGGAAATCAATTTGGGCAAAAGATAAGCATCTGAAATGTAGTGAGTTTGAGAGGAAGGAGTGAATTTAAGAGCTATTAGTGGAATTCCCTTGAATGTGAGGAAGGAGGCACAAGGAGAAGTCTACAATTACTTAGATTTCTAGTTTTGGTGTCCAGGAAAAAAAAGGTGTTTGAACTGTGCAAAGACTGAGAAGGTGGAAATCACTTAGTAAAACTCGGTGATTACACTAAACAGGAGTAGTTATATTGGTTTCTTAAGAGAGTATTGTATATCAAACTCATAAGATTAGATAATGTTGATTTTTATGTGTAGGTAACTCCTTATTTAAAAAAATCAAAAGATAAGATATTAAAGATAGGAAAATGGAAGTATTTAACAAACTTGGGATTATGCAGGTAGAGCATTTTGGTTTGTAGATTCATTAACTTTTGTCTTTGGACCATGTGTTTGTTCTTGCATACTTAAATCTTTGCTGATGAAGTTGCATTGTAGTAAATTTTAATAATTTTATTTATTTATTTTTCCCCCAAAGTCCCAGTAGATAGTTGTATGTCATAGTTGCACATCCTTCTAGTTGCTGTATGTGGGACGCAGCCTCAGCATGGCCGGAGAAGCGGT